GTACGCCCACAGTTCAGGAGCTGTGTGACGACGCCCACAGCAGTGGAAGATGAATGGTTCGGACCCAGATTTGCGGGGTTTTCGGGCGGTAGCTGCAACCTTCGACACCACGGCTGCAGCATCAGATCTGGACGTGCCAACGCGCATGTCACTGCTCCATCTTGCCCTCTCTACGGATTTTTCATCAAACAGATGGAGAACCTCGTTTGGCAACCCGCGCTGCCGTCTGTCTTCATCAGGGTATTGAGAAATTTGCTCTTTGTTTGTAAGAACATGTTTTGTGTGGCGGAGACTGCCTGGTGTGGAGAGACAAGTCGACGCTGCTCTGTGCTGCAAGCAAGAGGTTTTTTCCTGCGCAACGCTTTCCGTCTGGTCTTATGCGTCTCTTTTGTGATCGCTGGATGCTACTTAGGTCGTTTCGAAACCACCCAAAAACCAAGATCAGCATGACTTAACATCCAGTAGCTCCTCCCCCTACTCTTGAACAAATAGAAACGAATTTCCGTTTGTCTCAAGCTGCCCAAAAAGAAGTTGCTACATCAAAGACGAGGAGTCTTCTCGCGAAGAAATCTCCAAGCAAAGAAGTGCCCCCATTCAGTGTAAATCCAGAAAAAAATACGGGCTCCAGGTACGCGGTCCGGTCGACTGCTGTAGCACGCGTGTATCTGAGACATAACACAAGCGAAAGGCCCATGATGTTAGTATTGTGGGCATGGTTACGTTACAGCCGCGGTGTGCTCGGTTCCATTGTCATTCAGGTACCGTCGCTTGCAGTTGCCCCTACTGCTGCACGGTCTGCACGCTCTCTCACGAAAGGCCCTCAATGCGGGGTCCCACAGAATGCCCCCATGGTACCAGTGTTCGGTTGGGTTTCTGTTTTTTCTGTGGCTATCGGTGTACTGATCGGGCGAAGCCGTTCACGAATGGCAAATAAATACACTGTTTTCTCCGCATCTTGCTTATTCAACCCCGTTCCGAAATTTGCACTTGCAAGTGGACGCACCGAGGGTTCTTGGAACTTGACATCGATCCCTCGAGAGCCATGGCATTTTCTGCTTCACTCCAGCCGTCCACGCTGCCGGATGCATCTCAAATGGAGGTAAGACCACCGAAAAGCCTCGTTTTTGTTCGTGTACTCTACAACGGTACTTCACCTCCTGTCTTTCAAAAGGACGTGTGTCNTCTCCGCATCTTGCTTATTCAACCCCGTTCCGAAATTTGCACTTGCAAGTGGACGCACCGAGGGTTCTTGGAACTTGACATCGATCCCTCGAGAGCCATGGCATTTTCTGCTTCACTCCAGCCGTCCACGCTGCCGGATGCATCTCAAATGGAGGTAAGACCACCGAAAAGCCTCGTTTTTGTTCGTGTACTCTACAACGGTACTTCACCTCCTGTCTTTCAAAAGGACGTGTGTCGCCTGCCTCCGCTATATTATCTACCAGCGCACCCACTGCACCTCTCCTACATGTTCGCTAACTCTTCTTTACATGATCTGGTACGCTGTTTGTACGTGGTCCTAAGCTCTACACACATGCAGCCCTACACCTATTTTCAGCAGTTTGTGAACGCACACGACCGTGCGAGTTGAATCAAGCTTTGGGATGGATGTTTAAAAGAAGTAGACGTTTCCGGGGATGAGTCAATATCGTCCCCGGGGTTTCCATGTGATCGCCATTTCTCCCCTATCCCGATTTTGCAGAAGTGGGGCAGTGTTGAGGGCGGTACAAAATAGCCGCACCCTCTCAGCCGTGTCACTGGAGCGAAATACCAGCAAGATGGCAAGGCGAAGCAGAAATTACGGGAACTGGAAGGCGGGCTTGCGCGTGCATGAGAGCTGAGTGTGAGAGCAAGAACGTGCCCGTTGCACCGCAACTGAACCTCGTCGATACAATCTGATTTGCAAGAGCATCAGAGGGTATTTTCTGGATCCCGAACCATACAGAGGCATAGAACGAGACCGAAAAGATAAGTATTCCTGCGCTAACCAGAACTCTGGATTAAAAGCGGATTCTGGTATGCATACATGGTGTGGAAGTTACGTCTGCCACCGTCGCATTTACGCAGGAACTGATCGCGGATGATGGTCTTTACCTCATCAGAGTGGCCACTGATGAATCATCTACTCAGCACGTGGTGGCAGCGGTATCCGCGGTGAGTATGGCAGCGAGCACGTGCAGAGTGAGTAGCTGCCACTAGGCTAAGATACGTGTGGTGCATGGTGTAGGTGCACACTAACATCCGTTGTTGGACATTGTGTGAGGCTTGAACGGATACGGCGAGTACTTAGCTTCTTGAGATCCCTGCTTGTCCAGCACGCATTCATCTGCTTGGGTCCCGGTTCCTGAAAATGACCTGCAACTCTGCTTCGTTTCTCTTCCGGTCGACCGTCTTCTGCCACCAGTGCCAACTTCGACTGGCGTCCTTCAGAGAGGAAATTACACTGCACGTCGAGCGGGATGGAGTAATAGTGGGGTAAGATTGGTTCGTTTATGTGTACACGGATAGATGAGCTCAGTCTGCCACACGCATTCAAGAAGCGTAGGCCAGCGATCAATCAATTTTCAATGCTGTTTAATTCATGTTAGATGTCAGGAAGCTCTCACATCTGCTGTTGGCACGCTGGTTAGGGTTGAGGATGCCACGTGTAGAAGGTGCTGGCCTTGCTTCAAGTAGTTGATGTCCTTCATAAGCGAGGGCTGCTTGTTGCTTCGCTCTTACGGTATTCTGGTCCTGTTTTGATCTTACAATCCTCGCACCAATCCCCTTGTTGCGGTTATTCATTCTCGTTCTCGCACCGGTTGAAGCTAGTTTGCTTCACTGTACCAGTACCATCTTGAATACTTCGATATCAGCACGGTTTTTTCCCCTCACGTGTTTTTGTACACACCAGTGTTGACTACAAATCTCCGGTTGGGCCTCTCGCTAGCACCCGGAACTGCACGAAAATGTCGGTGAGAATGTGCCCACAAGATTGTGCTGTCCTCGATAGAATTTGCCCTCTATTTTAGCTGACCTCCCGTATTCCCCTTGACTTATGCCCCCCTGCATATAACGCCATGAAAAACGTTAGCCCCGCATAAAGACTCCCGTGTAACTAGCTCTGAGGCCCCCAGAGATATCCCCCAGGGCTATCTCTCGGATGGAGACAAGTACTTGAAGTATGTTACTAAATAAGTTTTGCTGGAGGGGCCGTTTTGGTTGGGATATTGTGGTTGCGCACGACCAAACCGTACGGCGCGTGCTGTCTGTCCCCCGTGGAACAGTCAACCTTCATTCAGCACATGGGCTCACACAGTACAACACGCCCCCATCCATGCATTGGTGAATCGCAAGGTGCTGGAGTACTCGGAACTTGTGACCAAGGTCGTGGTTGTCAGAGCCGCTAGTGCTCAAAGGTGAGTGTTTTCGGTAAAAACCCAAAAGAGCTAGCTCCAGAAATGCCTAGGTAAATTGTCACGTACAGTCGGGGCCACTTGTACCGGACTGTTGGCATGTCAAACCCACGGCGGAAGGATTGTTTTGTGGTCTCAGCTACAGTATCGCCCTCCGCACTGAACCTGTAGGATTTGTGCACTGAAGCAAATATTAGAATTTGTAGGCGCCCGCCAGCTGCAAGCATACGCCAGTTCTACTTTCACCAGCGCACAATCGTCTTCGTGTGCGTTCCACCCTTCAAGTGTCCCTCTGCAAGTGCTGCAGAATAGCCCTCCTCCTGGACTGTCGGCATTGAAAGAACAGATTGGGACGAAAGATGCGAAGGCTGCCGGCAACCAGAGTCTCCTGGTAAAATACGTAAGTGCATACATTGGGTACCTCAATCGAAGAAAACTTTTTTGTGAGACATCCGTAAGAACTTGCTTTAGGCGAAGCCTTTCAACTGACACCTGAACTCCTTTCCGTCTCCCCACCGGTTTGGCTGGGTACTATGCGTACGACTATTCCGTGGAACCTGCCAACCTCGCGCCGAGAGGTACATCGGGTGAAATGAAAGGTTTCCTTGGACACTGCTGTGGGCCGTGCCTTCACTCAAACCATTGCTGGTTGTCCGCTTCTGTTTCCCTTGCTCCCTTGCAGTGGTACATTTTTTTGCCTTGCATACTATTCTTCATGTTCAGCGCGCCTGATCAAGGGGGGGCAGCTGCGCCACCGGCTGCGAGCGGAGGCAGATAATAGGAGTCGGAAAACGATGAGAGAGGTCGCGGAGACCATCACCGTAGGTTTCGTTGATTTCGAATTAAGCAAGTACTGCTATGCTTCGGAGCGCTGGGAGCCGGGGGTGTACGTACCCATGCATACCATGGCATATGTTGCAAAAACATGAAAAAAAAAAACAGACAGGGAAGCTTTCCTTGTGCTGGCGTGACGGCGGGCAACAAGCACACCAAAGGGGAACCACACCGACACGTCAATCTTTCGACCAAGGAGTGTATCCATACCACTCGTGCTCTTTTAAGATTGGCGAAACACTCAAGCAGCTGCATCAACACCCTACACTATCCAGCGCATGCACACACCCACTTTCCCCTTCGCATATTCAATGCGCGGGCAACCCCGGTCTTGGCGCACCTACTACTTAGTAGGACCAGACCAGCAACAACCAACGCTCATGTTGACGTATAAGAACACAACTTATATCACGCCTGTACGAACTAAAGCAATATCAATGCTTTCGATGAAGCAAAACATGCATACGCTTGACGCTCCGAAATGTCGCTGCGGTGGACCTTCCACTCCCAACGGTGATCCAACCGCTCATGGTTCCGGCACTCGTGCAATGCATACGGAGAAAGAAATACACACAACGGGTTGACTACGTCGACACTCGTCATCCCTCGCTGTTGTGCCCATTCAGGGTCGGACCTCGGTTTCAGATTGTGCTTGCCGAGCGCCGAGGCCTCTCATGTAGGCCCAGGCACTTTCCCAATACGCAACCATCCAAGGACAGTGCCGACAGCAGGAAAGTGGCTAAGAGCGTGTTCGACGGCGACGTCTTTATATTATACCGGTGCCGGGCTGGCTTCTAACTATGCAAGCTGCTTGTCCTCGTTCCTCTCGACCTCGTTGAAGTTGTCCCTGCCGACATTACAGACAAGGAAGCATGCATAGGAGAAGCCGGAAGGTGTTTCACCACAAGGATACGGTTGTGATCATGGATCCGTTGGGAGCCCGGTTGCTATTTCGAACACGTGTGCACCAATCTTCCATGTTTCAGGAACGACATTTGACAGCCCACCTGATGAACGAAAATCCTTCCAATTCTCCTTCGTAGAACACTGGGCTTGCTCCGTTCGCGTCCACGTCGTTGCCCCAGAACACCGGTTGGCTGTCGGGCGGGAGCGAATATGCATGTAAGCAAGTGCACAACAGATCCGTTCACATCCTAGCTCTCAACTTCCCGAATCGACGCAAGCGATCTGAAGCAATATCAACCTCATTGTCCGCGAGTTGTAAGATCGTTTGAGACTCTCGAGTTGTCTTACTTGGTGAAGTCGTCGTCGAAGTTGTTCACCATGTCCTTTCCCGGATCTGCTGGCAAGACTGGCGGTGTGGTCTTCTTGAGGGCCAACGCTTCCCAGTCCGTATTTGCGAAGAACCCATTGCTTTTGACATCGTCCCAAGCTGCGAAGTCTTTCCCACATCCAAGTCGTCGGGCCTCCGTCACCTGGTGGTAAACGTCCAACAGCGGTCCCATCTGACGACGTCACGATGTTGTCTTGCGACCTTCCTTCCGCTCTTAATCTTAACATTACGCTTCAGTACTTTTGTATGGAGGGCAAACGACGCGCCGTATACAAAATACTTCAAAGTGTTTAACTCTTGCCCGGCGTCTTCGTGTGTCTGAAAACATTCGACAAATCCACCACATTTGACTCTTGGGCGCCAGCTGCACTGTATTCCGTCGGTACCCCGAGAGCACATCTGGTTGGGCCTACTCACGTGTCAGAGGTGCCGACTCTGATACGGCATTCGCAATGGAGCCAAGCCACAATCTTTAACGCCTTCATTATGCATTCACCCAGTACAGGGAAGTGTTACCTGCAGCAAGGCCCCGGTGATGTCCTTAGCTGCCTCCGGCACAACCGATGGGTAAGCGAAGACGCCATTCAGAATGTTTTCCCGAATGAACTTTCTAGGCTTGCGAGGCAGCCAGAACGGTGATCGTCCGGCGTACAGCTCATACACGAAGCACCCATACTGCCAGAAATCCACTGAGGAGCCGTACGGTAGCCGCAGAATCATCTCCGGCGCGAGGTAAGCCTCCGTCCCACAGAAGCTGAACGCAACAAGGAAAGACGGGGTGAAAAGCTGTGTACATGACAATGACCGTCAAGAAAATAATACTCCGGGCTTCCAGCTATCAAACAAGCCTTCCTGCAGAAAATACAAATGGGGACGGACGAGTCCGAGCGCAGTACAACGCAAACCAAAATCTTGAAAAAATTGCGGGGCCAGGTAGGCATCTTCTTGCTATAACACAGGCATGCGGTTAACACTACTACCAAGATATCAAATAGCAAGTTTTCGCCGTAGGGTACACAGAGCAGCCTCACGTCATTCCGAACACCCACTCGAGTCCAACAAAAGCAACACTCCACACTCGAAGCCATACGATAGGGACGCACCTGCTTGTTCTATCCACTTTGCTCTTGAGGACCTTCGCCAATCCCAGGTCAGCCAGTCGAATGTGTCCTGCGCGTGAGAATATGTCGCCACAAAATATCGTCCAGACATCATGCAACTTTATCTGCACAGCGTGTATACAAATACATACGCGAATCGATGGCAAGTTTAGTAATGCGACGTGGTCCAGCCACTGGAACACAACTTACCCTGCGAGTCCAAGAGCACATTCTCGGGCTTGAGATCCCGGTAAATGACGCAGTGCTTGTGAAGGTGCTCCAGAGCCAGAAGCACCTAATACACAAAACATGCCGATCGAGGATTTTGTCAACGCGTCGAAGTGAACGGCAGTCCGAAACACCGTGTGTTCGATATGGATTGTTGCCATGCTAAAGGGGGTGGCATGGAAAGGACGGGCATAAAAACACACGCAAACCTAGACACTTTTGAGATGGATCCATACCTCTGAAGCGTAAAAGGGAGCCATCTCTGTGCGTCTGTTACGGTGCTTCCTCCAGTGGCGGAACAGATCGCCGCCGTTCATGAAGTCGAGTGCGTAGTACAGGAACCTTGAAACCAAACGAATTGAAGACAACCAGGTACCATTTTAGAGCACAAAATAGAAGGTAAAAAAAAGGGAGAAACGGCGGTCCTGTGTTCCATTCAACCCAACACTCAGAAATACGACGCACGGTGTGCCACGTGCTAAGGTATAAACGACCTTTTTCTTCCACAAGGATTACCATCGCGCGAGCACAGTGAACACATATATCGCTATACAATCACCGGCTTGCCTCTGGAAGAACGCTTAACCGCGTCAGCGTGTCCCCCCCACATGATAAAAAACATTCGTTGGTCTGTTAGTTACCTTGAAACTCAGTGGAACGAACGTACTATGATAAGATATGCATACTGTACCATGCACAAGCACAGTTCCACCGATAATAGCTCGAAAAACAATCACACGCCCGGACGGGTTGACATCAACATGTACATGCAATAGAATGGCAGCGACAGGTTCGACACCACGCTTAGCACTTCATATCACAACATGACCTACACCACATAAAGCACCACCAACCTGGGCGTACGGAATGCGTACAGCATGCCCACGACAAACTGGTGGGGCGGAACCGCCTGCATAATGAGGCGCTCATTCTGGACGTGGTTGATGTTTGTGTTTGATCCGAGCTGGACCTCCTTCAGCGCCAGAAGCTCCACCTTCACAAGCATCGACGCATGGAGGGATTCAATCAGCCATTTCGCACATGTCGATCTAGTTGTTTCAGCAACCCTTCAAACACGAGATAGGAGTTGGCCGGCGTGCCGAAGATTCAACGCAATAGAAACCATTGCGCTGAAAGCGTCGAGGTTCCGTCTCTACCAAAGAGAGGTGCGTTGCGTCAATGCGCCTCGTCGTGTACTGCAGGATCATGACTTGCAAACGCAACTAGAACGCGTGGCCGACAAAAACTATAAAACCAATTGCTTAACCATTTCGGGTTTGTGCAGCACGTTCAAGGAAACAACACCCAACGAGCGAAGGTGCAAAAAATCGGTCTGCCCTACATTGTATCAGGGCCACCACGACCTGTAGACACACATTTCTTATCGTGATTGTGTTACGTTCAACTGAACAGGGATCGAATAATCATCAAACCATTGTACGGCCGTTCCTCTTCCAAATAGTTTGTTTTTAGACCCTCATGCCTGGGATGATCGTTTGTTCACATTGCAATCCGAACAACGCTCTTTCTTTACAAGGCTCCCCAGGAGTTAGTTAGGTGGCTTGACTCCCTCCTCCCTCCCGGGAGCGACGCAAGAGGACATGTTCAATGCCATCGCAGTCACATCGTTGCATCTCATGGTCACGACGTTCGTTGTAGTGAGTGCCGGTTTTTGCGTACAACCTGCAGAGTTTGCCTGGCATTTTGCAAAATTTGCAACTTGTGCGGGGTACTTTTTTTCGCCGCGACTTTTCGCGTTTGCGTGTGTACTTTTTAAGCCAGAGACGTCATTGCTGCAGGTCCTGATGCTGTATCCGCTGCATTAAATCACTCGCTCATGTGCAATTCGTGTTGACCACGGTCTGTGGGCCTCGTGTGCGTTCCGCAGGAATCAAAACAAAAGTTTTCCTCTTTATGCAAAGCAGTCTATTTTGTAGTTCTTGCGAAGGCTTCCTTCGCGCGGAACACGTCAACTTTTGGGAGTCAAGCACATGCGCCGCGGGTAACATTTACCGACGATCCCCCTACGTGCCCCTGAGAAGGGAGCATCAGAAAAGACTCGCTTCTGCCAGCGAAAGATTTGGAAGCATATCCAATAAAGCACGAAAACAGGCGAAGTGGCACATTTCCATAAGTAGCCTTCAAAGGCCTAGAGGGCAAGCAAAGGCAACGCTTTCCCCTTTGCGCTGTTTCCGTCACAGGATAAACGTCAGGTAGCCAACGCCGGAAGCCGCCAGGCATCCGTCGATTTCCAATTCAGTAGCGGTTGCGGGATTTTAGACAACAAAAGATTAGCTGCTTGTTCTGGCATCCATGGGTTAGGACATCTGCTGCTAGCAATGCTATCCCAGCAATGAGAAAAAAAGTGCACCGAGATGCATCCGCTGCGTCAAGTACATGTTGAAAATGGCAAGGGGATCCATACAGGTAAAACATGAACCCTTGAGTAATAATAAAATAGCATTGACACATAAAACCCAAACGGTGACGTCCAACCGGCGCTGCTACTGTGCAAGAAACCATAATATCGGAAATCGCAAGACTTTGTAGTTCTGTTCAACGCTTTAGAAACGTAACAAATTGAAGTCCGAACCCAGGGAACCGACCCATTGTGATGGACTTTTCTTGGGATTGCGGTACTCACGTTGTCCGTCCCGGAAACTAGGCCCGGGTCCGCGGCAGCTCGTCCTGCCACTGGCCCCGATGTCTTCCGAACGAGAAAAACCTTCCCCCACTGCCCCTTGCCAACTGTCTTGAGTGGCTCAAAGTCTGCCCTGGAGAGACTTCTCGCAGCCCGCGTGCAGTGATGGAGCCACTCGGACCTTGCCCGCAACATGAGAGAAGGGGTCGGTGATCACATGTATGCATGCGTGGTCGGGAGCGTCGCGCACGAGTAAGCATCGACTTTTAACAAGAAAACAGTTCACGCGCAATTACATTTTAACCCGGGCACGAACAACGGAATTTTTGTCGAGACACAGAAGACACGAAAGTCAACCCCGATCGCACGCTTCGAACTTCTCGGTATTCACCCAAACCTTAGGGGAACGCGTGATATGCTATGGGATCATCATAAGCACCAACTACAACAAAATCCCTTTCGTGCATTATTGTACGACTATTTAGCGCAGACTCTTGGCAGGCTGACCGGCGGCATCGCTCTTGTCTACGCCGGGTGTACTATGCAAAGCGTCAAGTGCGCACGAATCCCTAACGGGGGGCAAGTAGGAGACCTACCACCTGTTGTGAAGATATTCCAAGTAGCGTACATCGCGCCAATCGGACAGTGAATCAATCGACAAGAGAAGCCTCAGTAGGGAGGCGTGTTTCCGTGTGAGACAGAACGCAGGTCAGGTCAATATTAAGACCCAAGGCGCCCCGCTGCGCACAAGCGTCTAACGTCTGCAATGACTGTCTACGGCAAGCTTGCCCATCAAGCCTGCCGGCAGCTGAGCACAAGATGAACGTATCGAAAGGGGTACACTTGGAAACCTTACAATACGGACGTGCGGCGAGACAACACGATGTTTGGTCTGGTGTTGGATCCACGCGACGTATTTCACCGTCGCGACCGGAAACCCTAGAGAGGGACACACTTAAAATCCACAGCCATCGTGGCTCACACAGCATTACTGAACAATGCCGTTTTACACTAAGGGACTTACCTCGATTCGGCAGATGCCGCCGTCAGGTACAGGCTGCGTTGTGGCGAATCCTTGTCGCATGCATCGATAACGCTTACGCTCAGGACGAATATCCCCTCAAAAGAAATTCTGAAGGGGAAACTATTCCCTCCCTTCTCGTCGGCCGAGAGCGCTGTCACTTTCGCGCCAGACAAATCAAAGGCGGCATCCCACTGCCCCTGGCTAGACGCAGCCTGGATGATCTCCGAGTCTATGGAGTCCTCATCTCCCGACTTGGAGAACAGTGACTCTAGAAACCCTGGGTTGGCACGTTTGCTTCGTGATTTGTAGAGGAGTAGCACCGACGAGCGTATCTCGAAGTAATGCAAAGCTTTGAGGAATCGCGTGCGCCTTCTCAGTGGCCCCGAGTGCACAGGCGCTACCTTACGAAGAAGCCCAATCTTCTCTTCCTGCATCTGCGCGTGTAGGGCGCCTGTGCCCTGCATTGCCTTTGCTGTCATTCTAGATCTGCGCGACAGCATCCAAAAAGCGAGCGTCGGCACAATCCAAGTCTGTTAGGGCGGAATGGTTTTGGTTCGGCTGGAAATCTCTCTCCATCCTGCTTGAAAATATCAACACGTTGTGCATCTGGAACAAAATGCATGCGAGGTTGGCGAGAGCCGCCAACCAATGGAAACGCTACGCGGCCCAACGGCCTCGACATTTCCTCGCCCGACCACAGCCACCACAAAGAAATGAGATTGGTGCAACTGGTCACGAGACTAGCTGAGTGGAACGACCCCAAGAGAGGTGGCCCATACCCCGCCAAAAACAGCATTCCTGTGTTTGTGCACAGCGCACTCAGACAATAAATATTGTTGCAAACGACACACACGTTTTAGACCGTTTTCTTACGGAATCGGACGGACACCACATTCGACATGTCATTTTCCCAGAGGATGGAGACACCCTGCACAGCCTGGAGGGGTCTGCCCGAGGACTACTGTACATCGTGAACAAGAAAAAATACGTTTCCGAGCACCCACACCGGCACAGGTCGCGGTTCCACCCCTGGGGAACCAACCAACACCAAACAATCCGGAGCGAGTGCGCTCGTCTCGTCAGTTTGAACAAGTGTGTGGGAAGCGTCAGGGTTATGATGTGATGCACCAGTGGCGAGTCCGGTTGGAGGATGGTCCGGTTTCTATCTTCGGATTAGGATGTTCGAGCCGAACCCGTTGTCAAGGAGCATTTCCGCGATGTCCGCCGCCCGACCAAAGTGGTACCAGTACAAGGCTGTCGCCGGATCGCCATTTTCTATTTTCAGGGGCCGACAGAAAAGTTTTGTAAACAACCAAAATGTAACACATGTGAAACTGTACCGTAAGCTACGGAGTTTTCCCCCTCCCGGTTAGATTTCCCCCCCCTACCATTATCTTTTCGGCCTGGAAGCATGAGTTCGTTGATTTAGCCCCGGGGTAGATCGTTTTCGACCAAAAAGAAGGATCCGCCCGGGTATTTCAATTTCCCCCCGGAGTACCAGTTTTCCCAAGAGTTCTCGTGGGGAATGCATTTCCCCTATTTTCTGAGTCGATTTGATTGCATCGCGGAGCACAAAGAGCATGATATGGCACGGAAAATTCATTTGCAGATCTGCGCTTCGAGCTGGCGGGTACAATACTCTCTGGAAGGCGGGCCCTCCCTCTTCTTGGAATCACTCGCGGGACGAGACAAACTCCCACAGCTGCTGTCCTCCTTGCTGTCTATTTTCTCTTCGTTGTTGCTCTTACGTTCCTCCTCCCTCTGCTTGTTGAACGCTTGCTTGTAAACCTTATCCATCTCAGTTTCATCACTCTGTGTGTGTGTGGTGCGTGGACCATCCTTTTTTTGCACAACCCTCCGGGGAGGGCTTACCCCGGAGTAGCGTTGAAAAAAAAAAACACGGTACGTCAATTTCCCCCCGCGGCGATCGGTTTCAAAAAAAAAGAACGATCCCCTCCCCGGGGGAAAACTCCGTAGCTCACAGGTATGTATGAATAAACATTATGCAGGTATGCACCTCAAGCGGCCAAATTCCTCCCCGGACCCATCTAAGGTAACTTGGGACTATAGCACTCAGAAATGCATTTCCAGACCAAGGCATGGGAAATCTGTGGACGAAAAAGAATCAAGGACAACTTTGCACGACACGCAGGCGCCAACAGACAAATAGTGCGAAAGTATTCATGGTGCAATTGTTGTGTGCTAGATTTACAAGCGTTATCACGCGTACATCAAGTCAAACCTACATGGAAAACGGGTTGTGCACGCAAGACTGCCAAGACATATGTGACAAATAACAAACGACGAATGCATGTACGCGAAAACGGCGAATCAACGAACCTGATTCACAGGCACAAATTGACAATGATATAAATATGCATTGAGACAACCGGCTTCTTCCACGGGCGGCACTACGAATGCATCAGCGCAAACAACCGAGCGCTACTAGAGACCCCGCAACACAACCAACAGCACGCTGCGAGTTCCTTCACCGCATCAACTGCACAATACGCTCTCAAGTTCGCGCATGTTCCACGTGTTGCTCATTTTCGGATTCACAATTTTAAAAATTGTCGATTCGGCGTCGGGTCTGGAATTGTGAAGTAAGTTGTGTGTCCCAAGGTCGAAGAGCCGGAGTGAAGTTGCCAGGAGAGCCCGCCCAGGGGTTAAAGACTAGCGGCACTACATGCAAGGCATAAGCATTTATATATACCTTCACTGCCCCCACGATGTTGGAGTAGGTGCCGTTGGTCTGCGATTATTACTAAGTGGGACAAAACTGCGTGAAAATCAACAAATGTCTTCCTTCATTTTTAGAAAGTAAAGGTAACCTCATTTGTAAGAGAGCCGTCTTCTGTCGCGCATGCAACCAGGTCATGACATGATCTAAAGATTCATTGAATGATGGGCAGTATACCCAGGCGGGTATACCCATACGAGTACCGCCATTGTCAAGTGATCGCACTCCCCGTAGACAGAACTTCCTCGCTCGAATGCCTCACAACCGAGAGGGCACCACTGCCGAAAAGGGTGGGGTAGTGGAAAGGTTTTGTCGACCCTTTGATCTGTTTTCGCACCCTCTTGATCGTGGACAAACGAAGGTGGGAGCTGTCCAGCTCAGGCAGGTGCCACACCCGAACAATCACGGCACCCGCAGAGTCGCCGACCACACTCAGTCCACCCTGTTACCAAGAGGAGGTAGGCCGCGAAAAAGGGATACATGACCATGGATACATCCGTCAGGATACATCCTGCTTTGGACCGCCTGTGTGTGTGTCTTCATTTACTGCTTTGTACCGCCCGTGTGTGCGCGCATCGTGTGTGCATATATATGCATATGTGGGAAACAGCTGCGTGTGATTTGTGCCTTTGGAAGGGGAGGATGAGGGGGTATTACACGCATAGCGCAGATGCCTTATGCTTGGATTTAAACCCGTTCTGCAATGCATGCTCATCTCAGCACTCATCCCGGCACACGCTCGCATCCCAAGGGTGCAACGAAACACACCTCCAATACACCGGGAAACCAACGCCAACGACCATATGGAGCAACTCTTGAATGTCGAAATGTTTCTTTTGAGGAGCAAGATGTTGAAGTCTACGGATAAAAAAATACTGCGTCTGGAAGACATGAGCGAACATTGGGTGCTACATGGCTCAACACACCCCCGCGAACGACATGTCCACAAGCCACAACCGAACTATGGCAGAGTACACTCTGCATTCGGGCGCCGGACGAAAACGCGACGCCACGGTCGAAGCGGCGACGAACCAAAGGCTTACCTCCCGTCGATCTGGAGTCGCCAGAACAGCTGTCAAACGATGTGCTTGTAGGAACGTTTGTATCCTCTCCAATGACCAATCGACCGGAAACGTCAAAGCACCATGCACTTGGTCGATTGGTCTTGTCAAGGGTCACCCACCCCGTCTAGCGCGCGAGTCGTCGCTTCGCCGTGCGCCGCCGGCACTACCTGTGGGCGAACCGAGTTGATTTTTCCTCCCTCCCCACCCCCGCAATTTTAGCATTTTTTTTACAGACCCCAATTGACCCCACCCCCCCGTCCCCCGCGACCCGGAGAAATCACGGTGGAGAAATCGGGACAAATCACCACCCACGCATGATTGTTGTGTTGTTGTTGTTGTCGTTGTTGTTGTCTTCACATCTAAAAACGTTCCGATCTCTCTCTACCCCAGTGGAACCTTCGTATGTCCGTACTGATCCAACACTCGACGCGGTCGATTCCCGTGGTCGCAGGCTAACTTACCCTCAAAAGGTACACTCAAATAAACTGGCCCCGAGGGGTCCGCAAGCAAGTCAAGAGAAATCAACGACAGATATTCTGGAGTCCTCCACTGCCTCTTCGCGCTATGCGAGGTATAACAACTGAGACTAGGAGTCACCATCACGCGCCGGAGAGAAAGACGTACACCCCCTTGGTTCAGTCTTGGTACTTCACAACGCAAACAGAGACAGAGAAAAAGAGAAGAAAATACAAGGAAACAATGTTGTTGTTGTTGTCTTCACATTAAAAACCATCCCGGTCTCTCTATCCAGTACCTCCTTCTGTCTCAATCTCTCCGTACTAATCCAGCACTTGACTCGGTCAATTTCCGTGGTCACAGGCTAACGTACCTAGAAAAGGTATACCAAAAAAAAATGAACCCCAAGAGTTAGCAGAGCGATAAAAACAAGAATCAGAAACAAATAAATAAATAAATAGTGGAACGTGCGCACCACCAGCC